AACCTGCACGTCCATCCTCTGGACAGTGGCCCTTTCTGGATGATCCTTTGGAGACTTAACAAACTGTTATTCATCAACTTCCAACAATAATGACATTTTATCTGCTTCATTGCAGAGCTGGCCATGCTTTATGTCCAGGAAGGGATTGGTCAGTCCTCTGAGCCAAGTTCCCTGGTGGACCATGAGCCTAGTGGTATAAAGGGCAGCCATGTGAGAAGCCGGCACAGCCTCTCCGAGTTTCAGCAAGTGACCGGTCAGTGGCTGTGAGCACAGACCCCAGAGATGAAGACCCTGTTCCTGGCCGTCAGCCTCAGCCTCATCGCTGCCCTGCAGTCCCAGGATGCCCCAGCCTCAGACGAAGAGAGTCAGAATGTGAGGCTCAGATGGGGCAGGGTGGGCTGGAGGGGGCTCGCGAAAGGCTAAAACTTCTGGTTAGAGACCCTTATTTGAGGGCCAGACACTGAGCCCCTACCTCAAGGGAATGGCTAGATAGTGCAGGAGTCTGGGCCAGGTAGGCCTGGGGTGCAGGGGGCCTAGACTGGAAGGAGGGGCCTGCTAACTTTACCTTTCCCTGGGAGGGAGGGTTCCTGGGGGTCTTAGCCAACTTGCAGGGGCCCGCAGCTGGCATTTGGTGTGTCTGGGGAGGGCACTGGGGGAGGAGTTTAGAAATTCTTTGTGCCTTCAGCCATTAGGATGGAGTGGAGTTCAGGGGCTGCAGACTAGAGGCAGGGTCTGAGCCCTAATGAAGGAGAACCTTCTCCAGGTGTCAGGAAAGTGGTATCTGAAGGCCATGACAACAGACAAGGAGATTCCTGGGAAGAAGCTGGAGTCTGTGACTCCCTTGACACTCACGGTCCTGGAGGGGGGCAACCTGGAAGCCTCCATCACCATGCTGTGAGTATCTGCTGGCTGGGCAGCTGTGACCTGGGCTTCAGCCTGGGTGCCAGTGGGATGGGCAGATCATGCTGGGGCCTTTCTGAGCCTCTCCTGCAATACTCAGTTCCTGGTTGGTGGCTTTGAGGGCAAACTGTGACACTAAGGCTGCCCCTGGATCAGACCTTGTGGCTGGGAGGGGCAGGCACCACCCACCCTCTTCCCTGACTGGGAGGACCTGCCTGCTGTACAGACCCCTTTGGGAAAAGGTGTCCTATGCCCAAATAGAGTCAGAACTGGCAGGCTGGGCCTCAGGACTCTGCAATTATAGCTCTTGTAGTAACTTTCTGCTTTGGAGATCATAGGGACAGGGTTTCAGGATAACCAAGAGAGGGGAAAAGACACCAGGGAGAAGGGTTGGTGGGCAACTTCCCACGTGAGTGGCTCCCACCAGTGGGGCTTCACACCTGTACAGTTTACCCCTGTGCAGGTCACATCTGTGTGATTTCCCACCTGTGTGGCTCCCCCATGAGTGGCATGGCAGTGCCTGTGCTCTAGTCCTGGGGCTGACCCTTAGGGAGCCAATGACCCTGATGTTTGCATCCCCTCCACAATCTACTTCCTCTACCTTCCACTGGGCCAGATGATGGTAGATGCAGGGCTTGTCCTTGAATGTCTCCAAAAGGAGGAGGGTCAGGAGAGGGTGAGGTCCATGAACTATGGCTTAGGGCTCAGGCCTGTGACCACAGGTATTGCCTGCAAGCTAGGTGGTCCTGGGTCCCCTCTGGCTCCAGTGGGGTGGCTGGGAGGCTGCCCCTGGAGGAATGTAGAGCTCCTGGCCACCACGAGAGCTCCAAGGCCACCACATGCAAGCAGAGGACCTGGCAGGTGCCTGGACCTGAGATGCAGACAAGTGCCAACCTCCCTGCCCTGCCACAGACCCGGGGTGAATGGGAGGCTTTGACGGCCACATTAGTGGGGCTGTGCCAAGGCAGAGGAGGCACAAACCAGGACCTCTTTGCTCATGGAGCATCTGTCTTCCAGGATAAATGGCCAGTGCCAGAAGATAAAAGCCGTGCTGGAGAAAACTGACGAACAGGGCAAATACACGGCCAGTGAGTCCCTAAGCTGAGCTGGACCCTGCCCCAAACACACACTGGAGGGGTGGGGGCAGCTGGCACCTTTAAGGGAGGGCTTTTGACCTGAGAGCCCTTACATTCTGTTCCGACCCCATTAAAAGTCCACCCTTCCCTTCCCCCAGTAACTCTGACTTAAGACCACAGACACTTGACACCAGCACTAGGGGTGGAAGCCCTGTCCCCAGGAGGAACTGGAATGTCCAGGGCTATTTCTTTGGTTGTGGCTGTGTCCCTAGCAGGGAGCCTGGAGAAGAGTCACATTTGACGGGTGGGCACTGAGCACCCCAAGCTCCAACCTCTGCCAACCTGACTCCCCGAAACCTCCCTGCCACTCACTGGTTTAGGATGTGACTGCCTCTCGGGTGCACTGGGTCCTTGGGAAATGGGGGCCCCTTGGCCTGGGGCTCAGGCCTGGTGGAGAACTGGGGTCAGGGAGCCCTGGGCAGCTGGAGGGCATGGCAGCTGCAGAGTGTGTCCACCTGGGCACTGGGTGGTCTCCCTGGGTCCCTTCTAAAGGCTCAGGTGGCTAATTCAGGCCTTGTGTTGCTGTCCTGCAGATGAGGGCAAGCATGTGGTGCATGTCATCAGGTCATCTGTGAAGGACCACTACATTCTTTACTGCGAGGGCGAGCAGGATGAGACGAATGTCAAGATGGCAAAGCTCATGGGTGAGCCCCCGACCCAGCGGCCCATGCCCCTGCCCTCCCATCCTCCCTAGCCCCATGGCTCACCAGTCTCTAGCTGGCATGGAACTGCCAGCAACTCCCTGATTCTGCCTGGCATGCTTATAGTTGCTGGTCACCTATAGGTAGGGATGCTGAGAATAACCCAGAAGCCCTGGAGGATTTTAAGAAGTTCATGGGAGCCAGAGGCCTCAGCCTGGAGCACTTCCTCATCCCCAAGCAGAGCGGTAGGGAGGCTGCACTTCTCACTACTCCCTGTCCCTGGGGAAAAGCCAGCAGAGTGACCCTTACAGGGACACATTGCATCTTACTCTGGCGTTGTCCCTTGGGGTCAAGGGAGGGGCTCTGGGGGCCTGACAGGACTCCTGGGGTCTCTGAATCAGGCATTTCCTCCTTTCTGCAGAAACTTGCCCTCCAGGGAGCGATTAGGGTAAGTTAATGGGTTAGAGGACCCTGAGAGAACCCAAGACTTGGGTTCAGTGGCCCTGGAGAAGGCCTGGTGTCTCTCTCTCCACCTGGGCCAGGCAGGTGCAGGCTCTGACCCCAGCCATGCTGCACGCA